TGTGTGTGTGTGTGTGTGTGTGTGTGTGTGTGTGTGTGTGTGTGTGTGTGTGTGTGTGTGTGTGTGTGTGTGTGTGTGTGTGTTTGTTTTGGGGTAGGGGGCTCCAGAGCGACCCTGATGGTCATTGCAAGATAGGGTGGGGATCCAAAGTTGGAACTAAGTGAGGACCAGAGAAAGCTCCTCTCCCTAGTCCCGAAGGAAGTTTACTGTTCTTCTGTTTCTGCGGACTGCTCAGGGCTCCTGGCTGTTGTTCAGATGACCTTGGATCCTGCAAGGAAGGGTTTGAGCTTCTTCCATCCCATGTGGTAGATCCAAATGGGGGTGGGAGACCTCAGAGTTCTTGGTCTCGGAAGGCATTCCAGTTCCCCATGGTCTCCTTGGCAGTTGGGATGTAGTCCTTGGTGCCCATACTGATAGTCCTTGGTGAGGATCCGGGTGTCCCCAGGGTTGGGATACAAGCCTCCTCCTGTCCCCTTGCTCCCCTCTGGGGGGCCCCCTACTTTGTGCATATGACCTCCTATTAAGAGGTTGTCAGGATTGCTCTTAATTCACCCTGTATATCTTTGTAGTTTTACTATTGAAAATCTGACAGGTTTAAAGAAAAGTTGGTTGAAGCAATATTTAAAGCTATTAAATTGTCTTAGAAACTTCAGAATTAATTCTACCCAACATGAACTTGTATCCAAACTGTTAAAATCTTCTACATGAAGGTCTGGCTCAGTGGCCTAGCAAAAATCCTCTCCTTGAATGTGCCGTGATCCCATATGGGTGCCGGATTTTATCCCAGCAGCTCCACTTCCCATCTAGTTCCGTGCTTGTGGCCTGGGAAAGCAGTCCAGGGCAGCCCAAAGCCTTGGGACCCTGCAACCGTGTGGGAGACCTGAAGGAAGCTCCTGGCTTTAGGCTTCGGATTGGTTCAGCACTGGCCATTGTGGTCACCTGGGGAGTGAATCATCAGACGGAAGATCCTCTCTATCTCTCCTCCTCTCTGTATATCTGACTTTGCAATAAAAATAAATAAATCTTTTTAAAAAATCTTCTACATGAGAATGGAGCAACCATGAGCAAGAAAAGTCATTTTATATAGGATATAAAAGTCAATGTTTAAAATATTTATAGAAATGATAAGATTTGTTTTCTTTTTAAAAAAATTAAAAGGTAAGATTTAAAACCATGAGGAGAGATGGAGATGAAATTGATTCTTCTGCTTCCTTATTGATTCCTTAATTTTGATCACCACTCTAATCAGTAACCAACTTTAAAAACTTCTATTAGACTGTTTCAGTATTCAGTATGCTTTCTCCTGGGGCCTGACCTGATGGGATTCCCAAACCTACGCTGTTCACAGAGCCCAGCAGTACATATGGCATGTACCTCTGTTCACCTTTGCAGGAATTTCACCTTACCTTGATTTTTCAATTTTCTAACCTTTGGGTGATTTTCTTTCTGTTAAAGACAATGGAAAGTTTACATTTGCCCTTTCTTTTGAAAAGTGGATTTCAGTTCTCATGTACTTATATCAAAGTTTATTAGCATACATAGTTCAAAAGAAATACTCAACAGTTCCATTTCTTAAGAAGTAGTTATTAATATTTATGCCACTGCAACTTGGTAATTTGGAGGAACAAAAAAAAACTCACAAATGCTGAGAAAAAGATTATATTTTATTCATTCATAACTGCATTTAACTTACAGTATTTTGCCAAGATGTGTCACAAAAAGGGGTATGGGATATTTTAACGTTGAAACTATTAACTACCTTGAGCTAGTAGTTCCCACTCTGTCCAATAGATGTCCTTGTGTTTCCTCTAAAAAGTGAAAAATATTCTCCAGAGCTCTTCAGCAGTTTGAGGACCTTCACCTTCTTTGTGCTAATTTTGTGCTAGCTGTGTACTGTTTTTATTTTTAATTGCACCTCATTTTTTTGGCACCCACTGCCTCACATGAGAGCTTGCACCTCATTTTTAATTTGCCTCATATCTTCCTCTACTACATGTAAAGCTTATTTAGGGGTTTTCTGTTTACTTTTAAGATTTACAGAGACTTTCCATGAAGATAACCCACACAAATTTTATTTCTAAAGCTACCATGAATTTTTCTTTGATTTTAAATTAAAATAAATGGGGCTTGGTGCCGTAGCCTAGCAACTAAAGTCCTTGCCTTTTACATGTCAGGATCCCATATGGGCACCGGTTTGTAGATGGGCAGCCCCACTTCCCATCCAGTAGCCTGCTTGTGGCCTGGGAAAGCAGTCGAGGACGGCCCAAGGCCTTGTGACTCTGCATTTACCTAGGAAAGGCTCCTGGCTCCTAGCTTCAGATCGGCGCTTGAGGAGTGAATCATCGGACAGAAGATCTTCCTCTCAGTCTCTCCTCCACTCTCTGTAATTGACTTTCCGATAAAACTAAAATAAATCTTTTTAAAAATTAAAATGAATAATAAAACAAAATGAAACAAGATGGGATGGTCTGCCTGTACTGCCACTTAGTACCTATTTCAAATCATATTTTGGGTAGTAGCTGTGCTTTCTAAAGGTTGTTGCTTCTAAACCTTGTGATTATTTCGAGTTGTGCTCTTGCCTTATAGAACTCAACTGTTTCTCCCTTCCTGTTGTCTGCCTTTCAAATAAGTATAAACAAACGAATCTATTCTTTAAAGAACAATAAAATGTTAAATTTTAAACATTAGTGACATCATTTATATAGAAGTCTCAATCTCTATATAACTTGTTTGTTAGATACCGTACCCCCGTTTAACTTTGGTCAAATCTTAGATGTTAAGGGTTAAAATGAGACTGAGCATGACATACGTTGTATGCTACCCTCCCTCTTACATTGTGAATAACTGAAAGTAAGGGGCCCTGTACCTCAATTCTGATTTTTAAACTCTAGGAAAGCTCATTCAAGCCTATCCCAAATCATTCTTCATTTTGAACCATGAAACAAAGAAATAGCTCAATGATTGCCCTAATGAAGTGGCTAGAATAAGTAGCATATGGAATGAATTAGACCTCCTTTATCCACAGTAACACATAATGTTACCATTTGAGTGTGTGAAAATGTGGAAGCTTAACTAGTGGCCCCTGTATCTGCGTAATCCTCAAAAAGTCTTCCTTCTTGAGAGAGAGAAAGAAGAGAAGAAAGTAGACCTCTCTTTCTCTAGTCCAGGAGTAGGCCATGTCTAGCCAGCAGACCATATAAGGGGCCATGAAATCCTTTGGTCTTTACTAAAACAAAGGTTGGCTTGCCTCAGTGCTGGGACACATACCAGGATCTGGAACGTGCCCTGAGATGTGTAAGTCCTACATGTACAGGGAGAGATGTCTGGTCCAGCTGGTGCTCAGCTGTTGCCATTTTCCTGTTAGCCCCTGGGGTTCCATTCCTCCTCCCTGTTCCCTCTGCTTCCAGAGAAGGAAGATGGGCTGCTCCAGAGCGCCCTCTACAAGCGGAGAGGAGGAGGAGAAGCCGCGGGCTGTAGCAAGCTGATATTTAAGCTGATAATTTTATGTGGACCATTAATGATGCTATAATTATCCAAATGACTTTTCGAGAAAAAAAGTTTCCCACTCTTACTCTAGTCTAAATATAATATAGTTTACATTGCCAGTCCCAGGTGCAATTTTTCTTGCAGTCTACTTTCCAAAATAGCTGTTTCCAAAATACTTAAATTGCTAACTCAGTAGAACATTATGGCATTGGTTAACCTGTCCCTTCTGTATGCTATTTGGCTTATACTTAAATAGCTGTATTCTCTGTATACTTGATCTTTGGTGAAAGTTATTATGAGTCAGAGGGAAGGAACAAGTTGGGATGGAGGCTCCTGGATCACTTACTGCCGTAGATTAAGTTTTCTGATTCTTTTCCAGATTGATTAGAAACCCTTCTGGCAAATTGTGTCTTAACTTTTTTTTTTTTGGTGTTGTATTTTTTTTTTTGTAAATGTTCTGTGTACATATGCATCAGCTAGTTTAATAATTTAAAATTAAGATTTTTATGTATGTGAAGAGCTTGTATAATAAGATACGTAAGTTCATAAGTTGGAAGACTGTTACACGAAGGAAATAATTTATTACATTGGAGAAACTGGATAAATATGTATCTCTTTATGATTGGACTACAGAATCCTAAGAAACAAGAAATAATGGAAAAGTTTGGCAGTTTATAATTAAAATGTATGTAGGTTATAACATTTATGTGCAAGTCGTATCTTGGGCTATGACTTGAACTAGAATTCTAGATTATGTTCTTCAGATACTGTTAATAATAGGTTGCTAAAATCTTCCATGTATAAGTATTATTTTTAATGACCTCCATTTACCCTCATAGATATGGCATGGAAAACTTATTCTGGTTTTTTGAACATTTAAGGTTTTCTTAATTTTCTTTCATAAAGAATTATTTTGATGTTATAGTGAATGACATCTTTTTTATAAAGTAAATTTACTCCTTCTTCCCTACCTGCACAGACTACTGCACTCTCTGGTCTTGTTACCAGGTGCCGTATATTCTTTTGAAAGGTTAAGTGACCTAATGTTTTTTAAGAGCTTGCCACAATGTTTGGTACAGTGTTAAGTGCAGAATAAATACTGTGGTTTAGTCTTCCCTCTGGTTCAGCACTGGATTGAGGATGGAAGGTTTCGGAAGCGCAGCAAGTGACAGCAGGTAAAGGAAAGCAGGGAGATCAGAAAGATTCAACCATGGGAGGAAAAGGAGGTTCTGTGTCCATTCATCCTGTTTGGCTGTTCCAGGTTATATTTTCTTTGGAATATACTTTAAGAATAGTTATATGGAAAATGTCTCAATATAAGTTTTATATCCTTGAGTTAAATTGTATAAATTTGTTGAGGACAGTATACAATTGAGAAATATTACAAAACTGTTTAAAATAGCATGATCTTTATGTATTATTTTTGTTTGTTGTATTTGTATTTCATATTTTTTCTGATTTATTCAAGTGTTTGTCCAATGATGTCTTTTGTTTTTGTTTTTTAATTATCCTAGTCACGTGAACTGGAAATTTCAGTTTATTGGCGTGATTGGCGATCTCTGTGTGCTGTAAAGTTTCTGAGGTTAGAAGATTTTTTAGACAACCAGCGGCATGGCATGTGTCTCTATTTGGAACCCCAGGGTACTTTATTTGCAGAGGTAATAAATGTATTTTATTAAATGTACATAACTACAATTGAAATCATGTATGTAGGCAGCATATTGTAGAAGTAGAAAGACAGACTGGAAGACAGATGACCTGAATTCTTGATTCAGCTCTGCCACTGAGTAGGTTTGTGACTTTGCGAAATGATTAATCCTCTCTAGGTCCGTTATTTCATCTAGAAAATGAGGTGGCCAGACTAAATTTTATCTGAGAATCCTTTAAGTTTTCATATCTCATGAGTTTAGTGGATGTCATGAACCATAAAGCCAATGCTGTTTTCATGTTAACTTGAATTTTCTTCACTGCAGGTTACCTTTTTTAATCCAGTTATTGAAAGAAGGCCAAAACTCCAAAGGCAAAAGAAAATTTTTTCAAAACAACAAGGTAATTAAGGAAGAACCAAATACAGAATGGTTTTAGTATTTTCTTAAATATGGACAGTCAAATTACTACTTAATTATTATCCATTTGTGTTGTTTTTCTTTTACTTCATTTGCTTCTAACTTTTAAAACAGAAATACTTATTTTTATTTGAAAGTCAGATTTACAGAGAGAAAGACAGAAAGAGAGAGAGCTCTTCTATCCATTAGCCAACTCCCTAAATTGCCACAGTATCTGTAGCTGGGCTGATCCAAAGGCAGAATCTAGGAGCTTCCTCTGGGTTTGCACATGGGTTCAGGTACCCATGGCCTTGGGCCATCCTCTGCTGCCCCTTAGGTCATAAGCAAGGAACTAGATCAGAAGTGGAACAGCCAGAAGCAGATCTGGCACCTATGTGGAATGCCAGCATTGCAGTGGGAGGATTAGTTTGCTATGCCACCGTGTTTGCCTCTATTATGTTTATTAAGGAAATTTCAAAAATGTCAATTAAGTTGAGAGTCTAATGCAGTGTATTTTCACCCAGTTTCAACAATAATCAACTCATGGCAAGTTTTGTTTTATCCGTAGTTCATCCACTCAACTATTTTATCATAGTCTTTGAAGTAAGCCCATGTACACTGTTTCATTCATAAATATATTTATGTGCCTAAAAGATAAATATTCTTTTTAAAACCTTAACTATGTATCACTAGAGTTTGGAAAATCTAATAGTACCTTACTTTTTTTAAGCTGTTTTGTACTATCCTTTAATAGCAAATACTTAATAACTAGTCTTAAAAGTTACAAATATTTTTTGTTTTTCATAAATTATTAACTGAGGAATATGAATTTTTAAGTTGTGGATTGTGTTAATATATGAAGAAATTACTTTGTTTTCTTTATTCACAATATCCATAGGCAAAACCTTTCTCAGAGCTCCTCAGATGAATATTAATATTGCCACTTGGGGAAGGCTGGTGAGAAGAGCTATTCCAACAGTGAATCATTCTGGCACCTTCAGCCCCCAAGCTCCTGTGCCTACTGCAGTACCAGTGGTTGATGTACGCATGCCTGAAATAGCACCTCCAGCAAGGTATGAGTCTAAGATTTTTAATTGTCTCTTATATAAAATATTAATTGTGACACTATTACATATTGATTACAACTAATGTGTGAAAAATATCATACCCAAGTCATATATTGAGTGCTCTATTTAATTTTTGCAAGTTTAAATTTTTTTTCTTTATGTTTAAAAAATACTTACTTTTGATTACTGCTTTGGTGAATTGCATTGTCTTCAAGTGATTCTACAGTAACCAAATTGGACTTTGATCTTGAGCCTGAACCTCCTCCAGCCCCACCTCGTGCTTCTTCTCTTGGAGAAATTGATGAGTCTTCTGACTTAAGAGTTTTGGATACAACAGGACAGGTAAGACATTTTAAACCTTTATTCCTCTTGAGAACGAATAAATTATCAGTAAAATCATTGTAGCAACTAAAGGCCACTTAAACCAAAAACTGCCTCTGTAAACTATATACTTATGTTTCTTATGAAATAGGTCAATTAAGTATAACTTAGTTGGCAGGAGATAACCACTCTTCATGTTAGCATGCCATTGTCAATAGCCTGTGGGAGCTCAGAGCAGAGATGGATTAGCGCAGTAAAGTCATAAGCTGCATCTTTTCTATTAAAAATATATTGTCTGAAGCATTCTACATCTTCCCACTTGGTTATTATTATGCATTAAAGATAATATACTCTGATAATTTTTCACTGTTTTGTAAGTGTAACAGATTTAATAGCCAAAAGAATTAATAACCAATATCTGAATTTTGCTTTTCTCTCAAATATTAATGTTGACATTGCAATTTTTTGATTCAACTTTATCACTGACAGATAGTTTTCTGAATGTTTCTATGGTTTAATAGGAGTGTAATATTTTACAGGATTCGGAAGCTGCTTTTGATATTGAAAATAATAGAAATAATATACTTTCAAAATCTCAATCTGAATATGAGACTGATATTTCTCAGTCTGGCCTAGAATATGGTGGCATCCGAGAATTTGAAAATAGAAGGTAAGGAAATGACATGTCATTTTACTACTATGTGTTTGATACCATACTTCATCTAGTTTTTAATTGAAATCACTATTTTCAGATCTCAGCAAAAGTTTCAGTTTAATCTGCAAGATTTCAGATGTTGTGCTGTTTTAGGAAGAGGACACTTTGGAAAGGTAATCTTTTGGAATTTTTTGAAATGCCTATAGAACTGATCATTCACATGGTAAATAATTATTTTATCTCATTTCAGGTGCTTTTGGCTGAATATAAACACACAAATGAGATGTTTGCTATAAAAGCCTTAAAGAAAGGAGACATCGTAGCACGAGATGAAGTAGACAGGTTAGTTTTTTTAAAGTGAAATGATTTATTTTATGAAATTGTAAGTTAACAATTGATGTGTAAGGAGTCTTCAGAAAGTTCATGAGAAATGCCTATTGTAAAGAACGTGCATAGATTTTAAAACATTTTTACACCAAAACAAATACATCTCTTAATTAATTTTTCCAGAAGTTTTTTTGTTTTATACTCTGTTACAAAACTTGCATATTTCATGATAGTATTTGAGGAGACAAAATAAAGGTATCTAGACTTAGTATAAGGGGAACACTGATTAAATACTGTTTAGCTTTTTAGCCACTTCCTTGCTCCCTTCTTACATAATTGATTAGTGGATACAAAAGAAAGTTGATGAGATATTAAATTCTGTTAAATTTTTTCACATGCAGAAGTTAAAATATATATGGAAATAGAAATTGCTGAACATTTACAGGTAGTGTACAGTTAACTGAATGATGAATGTATTCTGCGATTTTAAACTATGCCTTTATTTATTTTTCCTCTCTTTCTTGAAATCATTATTTGACCATAGCATATTATCTTTCAGGACACAATAAGTGCAAATTGTTGTAGGTATATCTTTTTGCAAAATGAGTAAGGTGCAAGGAAAGCAAACTCTGTGGCTGTCATTTAAGACACCTACTTTTGGGCCCGGCGGTGTTGCCTAGCGGCTAAAGTCCTTGCCTTGAGTGCGCCGGGATCCCATATGGGCACTGGTTCTAATCCCGGCAGCTCCACTTCCCATCCAGCTCCCTGCTTGTGGCCTGGGAAAGCAGTCGAGGACGGCCCAGAGCTTTGGGACCCTGTACCCAGGTGGGAGACCTGAAAGAGGTTCCAGGTTCCCGGCTTCGGATCAGCACAGCACCGGCCATTGCAGCTCACTTGGGGAGTGAATCATCGGACGGAAGATTTTTTGTAATAGAAATAAAATAAATCTTTAAAAAAAAAAAAAAGACACCTACTTTCCACATTGTGTTAACTGGATTCAGTTTCTGGCTGTAGCTTTTAACTTCTGCCTCCTGCAGTTCAGACCCGGAAAGACTGATGAAAACTCAAATTCTAAGAGAACTGAATTGAGTTCCTGGCCTCTGGCTTCTGTCTTACTCAGACCATGCCTGAGTGCTGCCTCTCCCTCTCCCTTTTCCTCTGTCTCTTTCTCTCTGTGTCTCAAATTTTTAAAAATTAAAAAATCTGCATAAATATTAGGTTGTGGAATATACTTCAAAATTAATTCAGTACGATTAAATATGAAAATTGCTGTACAATATGGCATATCTATCACAAAAGGGGGTTTTCATTTGATATTTAATAGTGTTTGTCTTATACCACTGGGAATCATCTATTTGTATTAATGAAGGCAATGATAAAAAGAGCCCTGGATGATGAATGAGATAACTGACTTTTCTAGTTCTGATAATTTCTGCTTATTATTTTGACTTCAGAGCATTCACTAAATAGCTTTGTCCTTTAGTCAACCCATATATTTAGAAATATGAAAGTGGGCATTTGGCACAGCAGTTCAGATGTCACGTGGAGCACCTACGTAGGATATCAGAGTGCCTCATTTCAAGCCATGGCTCCACTTTCGATTCCAGTTTCTTGTTAATTCACACCCCAGACAGCAGCAGATAGTGGCTCAAGTTCTTAGGTCCTGCTACTCTTACTGGAGACCAACATTCATTCTCCAGCTTCTGACTTTGGCACCACTGGCCTCAGCTATTTTGAGCATTTGGGGAAGACAGATCTCCCTTTTTCTATCTGCCTTTGAAATATAAATAAAATTAGTACCTAAAATTTGACAATGTTTATTGTTGGTAATATGTTACAGAATGTAATTCTGAGTAGATAGATAAGATTGTCACTTTTTTTTTTTTAAAGATTTATTTTTATTATTTTTTCATTGGAAAGGCGGATGTACAGAGAGAAGAGACAGAGAGGAAGATCTTCCATCCGATGATTCACTCCCCAAGTGAGCGCAACGGGTCGATGCTATGCCGATCCGAAGCCAGGAGCCTCTTCCGGGTCTCCCACGCGGGTGCAGGTTCCCAAAGCTTTGGGCCGTCCTTGACTGCTTTCCCGGGCCACAGGCAGGGAGCTGGAAGGGAAGCGGGGCTGCCGGGATTAGAACCGGCGCCCATATGGGATCCCGGGCGTGCAAGGCGAGGACCTTTAACCACTTGCGCCACCGTGCCGGGCCCAAGATTGTCACTTTTTAAAAAGTTGTTTATTTGGGAGGCAGAGAGAGAGAAAGCACTGTTATCTGCTGATCCACTTTAAAAAGGTGTGCAACAGCCTCTGCCAGGATGGACCAGTCCAAAGATGGGAGCCAGGAACTCAATCCAGGTCTCCCAGTTGGGTGACAGGAACCCAGTTAATTGAACCATCTTCCCTTCCTCACTGAGTCTCTGTTAACAGAAAGCTGGAAGCGACCAGAACTGACACTGATGTGGGAATTAACCTGTCTTAACGAGCATAGTTAAAGCTTAGGTTAAACATTCACTCTTCAAATTTGTACGTCTAATGTGTTTTCTACTCTATGGGTAACTCCAGAAATTAGAGTGGTTTTTGTTGTTGTTGTTGTTTAATTTTTATTAGAAAGACAGATTTACAGAGACAAGGAGAGACTGAGAGGAAGATCTTCCATCCATTCCCCAGATGGCCACAATGGCCAGAGGTAAGCCAATCTGAAGCCAGGAGTCAGAAGCTTCCTCCAGGTCTCCCATACAGGTGCAGGATCTCAAGGCTTTGAGTCATCTTCCACTGCTCTCCAGAGCGTTAAGAAGGGAATTGGATAGGAAGTGGGGCGGCCAAGACAAACCAGTGCCCATAAGAGATCCTAGTACATTCAGAGCGGAGTATTAGCCAATTGAGCCGTAACTCCAGCCCAATACTTAGAATTCTTAAAATATGAAAGCTTATTCTACTTTTAATGAAATGACCCTCAATTCTCTTCCTTTTGGATTTTCCTGTTTTTGACCTTTTTCTTTTCACTATTTTTCGTAATTCTTGATACCTAAAATTTTAGAAAGCATTTTACAATATAATTATAAAGTATTCTGAGCACCATTTTGCATGGTTATAACCATATTTTGATATTTATGTATTTTAAAGGTTAACAGAGAGAGAAGGAGATAGAGGGAATGGCTTCTGTCTGCTCATTCACTCCCCACATGACAGCAACAGCCAGAGCTGAGGTGATCTACAGCTATGAGCCAGGAGCCTCTTCCAGGTCTCCCGTGCAGGTGTAGGGTCCCAAGGCATTCTCTATTGCTTGCCCAGGCAATAAGCAGAGAGCTGGATGGAAAGTGGAGCAATTAGGACATGAACTGGTGTCCATAGGGATGCTGTGTGCCAAGGGCAGAGGATTAGCCTGTTGCGCCTTGGTACTGGCCCCAAGAACTGTATTTTTATGTTACATATACAGATGACTAAAGTAGCACTTTAATTCTACCTTCATTCTATTTACACTTGGAATAACAGGAGAACCAAAATAATAGAATACTGGTTGTGAACTGAACATCCCTAATCCTAAATGTGGAATTCTGTAAATTCTAAAACTTTATGAGCACTGACATGATGCCCCAAGTCTGATGGTTCAGTATATTCAGACTTTGCCTCAAATGTAGTATTTCAAGGTATCACCTAATATTGCTTTCAGAATATGTGTTTGAGGTGTATATGAAAGATTAATTTCATTTTTTCACATGAGTCCATTACCAGTGTATCTTATTATATACGTGTAAATGTTAAGATCTGAAATACTTCCAGCCACAACAAGCATTTCAGAAAAGAAATACTCAACTATCCAGTTCTGTTAATTCTGGAAATTAATATAGCTTTTGCCACATTGGTAACTTTAAAAAAAAAGTTTACTCATTTATTTGAAAGACAGAGATGTGTGTGAGAGACAAAGATATCAGTCTTTCATTTGCCACTTCCCTTCCCAAATATCTCAGCCTGGGCTGACCAGGCCAGGGCCAATAACCAGGGACAGGAAACCCTATCTAGGTCTCCTATATGGGTGGCAACAACCCAAGAAGTGACGGTATAAACTAGTCAGAAGTCAAACCAGGCACCTCAAAAAGGGATTGTGGTCTCATGAGTGTTGCTTAATCTATCATGCCACACCATGTGCTGATGTAAACTACTTTGAACCAAGTTTTTGGGAGAGATCATGTTCTAATTAAACTCCAGATGGAATAACGCTGTTAGCATTAGATAAGAAAATTCAGGTCAGAAGATGAAGCTTTAGCCAGAACCCAGGCTATTACCTCTACTGAAATGAACTCAGCCTGATTGACTGCAGTAGCCTCATAGCTAAAGCCCTCTCCTTGAATGCACAGGGATCCCATGTGGGTATTGGTTCAAGTCCCAGCTGCTTTACTTCCCTTCCTGCTCCCTGCTTGTAGCCTGGGAAAGCGGTAGAGGATGGCCCAAAGCCTTGGGACCCTGCACTTGCTTGGAAGACCTGGGACAGGCTCCTGGCTTCAGATCAGCTCAGCTCTGGCCATTGTGGCCACTTAGGGAGTGAATCAATGGATGGCAGATCTTTTTCTCTGTATCTCCTTCTCTCTGTAAAATCTGATTTTCCAACAAAAATAAATAAATATTTTTAAAAATTCATTTTTGAATCTCTATGCTTTTCAGTAACTTGGAAACAGAATAATCTAAAGTAGCACTGGATGGGTCACCAGCAAGCAGGTTCATCCACCTGCATATGTACACCAGTTCTAGTCCTGGCCACTCCACTTCTTATCCAGCTTCCTGTTAATTCCCTGGAAAGCACTGAAGGAAAGACCAAAGCCTTGGGCCCTTGCACCCATGTAGGAGACCTCAAAGAAGCTGCTGGCTGCCAGGTTCTTGGCCATTTGGGGAGTGAACCAACACATAGAAGATCTCTTTCAATCTTTCTATAATTCTGATTTCCAAATAAACTAATTTTTTTCACATGCAGAATCTGTGTAGAAAAATCAGTATTTTAAGAGTGAATAATAGGGCCCGGCGCGGTGGCGCAAGTGGTTAAAGGTCCTCGCCTAGCACGCCCGGGATCCCATATGGGCGCCGGTTCTAATCCCGGCAGCCCCGCTTCCCTTCCAGCTCCCTGCCTGTGGCCTGGGAAAGCAGTCGAGGACAGCCCAAAGCTTTGGGGCCCTGCACCCGCGTGGGAGACCCGGAAGAGGCTCCTGGCTTCGGATCGGCATAGTATCGGCCCGTTGCGCTCACTTGGGGAGTGAATCATCGGACGGAAGATCTTCCTCTCTGTCTCTCCTCTCTGTATATCCGCCTTTCCAATGAAAAAAATAATAAAAATAAATCTTTAAAAAAAAAAAAAAAAAAAAAAGAGTGAATAATAAAAGGAACTTGAACATAAGAAAAAGTGATTATATTAAATTTCAATTGTATCCAAAAAGGGTAAGAAAAATTCAGTTTAAAAATCAACAAAAAGGTGATTCAGCTTATTTTAATAGATGTTTCTGGAATATTGGATGGTTGTTATTGATGATTTTCTTATGTGTTCTAAATGTTCTTTATATAATTTGCATATTACTTTACTTACAAATTTGTCCTTTTTATAGTTCATAAAGATGCTTAAATTAAAAATGAACACAAAATTATGGATTACAGAGTGACTACCATTGGTATAACACTCTGAATCCAGTCCATCCCTATTCCTTTTGCTCTAATACCTTCCTACTTAGCTTGTTTTCCCTATTAGTTCATGTTTTGACAGCACAGAATAGTGTTGAAAGCATACTTCTGTATTGATAGTGCATAGGAAAACTCACAGTGGAATATGGGAGAAAAGAAATGACAACTTAGAAATGTTCTAGGCAGAATGAATAAAGTGTAATTTTGAATAAAGTTGAGTTATTAATATACAATTTAGGCAACATAGAATAACTTAAATGTTGCTATGTTAGTGAAATAAGATAGTCCAAAAAGGACAAATATTGTGTTTCTCTCTACAAGGCAACATTCATACAAAATACACAGCACATAGATATAAGGTGAGCAAGTATATATGTATATTCTCATAAATGACCTGTATAATGAAGACTTAGCATACTGGGAAGTGAGGCTATGTTGTAGTACCTATCTCCCAAATAAAAATAGAACTCCCATTGAAATACGCTAATATACCTGTACTGTATGATACTAGATTATCTGCTTTTACCTATATCTACCATGTCATAATATGGTATGTGAGTGTGTGTAAGATTAAAAATATATTGTATAGGGCCCGGCTCGTAAACCTAGTGGCTAAAATCCTCGCCTTTCATGCACCAGGATCCTATATGGCTGCCGGTTCTAGTCCTGGCTGTCCCGCGTCCCATCCTTCTCCCCGCTTGTGGCCTGGGAAGGCAGTTGAGGATGATGGCCCAAAGCCTTGGGACCCTGTTCCCGAGTGGGAGACCAGGAGGAGGCTCCTGACTCTTGGCTCCAGATTGGCTCAGCTCTGGCTGTGGCAGCCACTTGGGGAGTGAATCAGTGGATGGAAGATCTAAAACAAACAAAAAATACACATTGTATAAAGTCATGGAATAATATATCCAGAATGTGACATTACTAAATGGAGTTTAAATAATAATTACATTTATAGTCAGTATTTAAAACTAAACAGGTCTTTTAGTTCGTGATCCAAGAAAGAACTCATTGATATAATATTAAAAACTCCATGGTCATAGATACTTTCCAAAAACTATTTTTTCAAATCATCACCTGTGTTATCTACAGAATCATGTAAAGACTAATTTTTCTTTTTACTTCTTTCTTGAAAGACTTGAGGGAGAATGAGACTGCTTCTCATTCTAAAATCCCTGCTAACACCGGGATTTTAGTTTGGCATTTTGGAATGCTAGACTGTTGTTTGGAACAATGATGAGTCCTCCAAACCAAAACTTAATCACTTTAGATTTTGCAAAATTTTAAATTTTATTCCCAGAAACAGATACAGAAGAATATCTAGTTTTTTTTATTTAAAAGGGTGTTATGATGCAGAGAAATTGCTGCTTGAGAGGCCCCCTAGTCCATATTGCCTCAGCTCATGCTTAGTGTCTGCTTCTGATCCAGTTTCCTGCTAAATGTGCCTGGAGGCAGCAGATGATGGCCCTAATACAGGACTCTCGCCCTCTCGTGGCAGACCTGCTTATGAATTCCTGCCTCCTGACGTCAGCCTGGATTAGCCCTGTCTGTTGGCAGCATTTATGAAGTGATCCAGAGCCCCACACAGTGGCTCAAATGGCTAATCTCCTTGTAATCACCATGATCCCAAATGAACTCTACTTTGTGCCCTGGCTGCTCTGCTTCCCATCCAGGTCCCTGCTTGTGACCTGGGAAAGCAGTCGAGGATGGCCCAATGCTTTGGGACCCTGCTCCCATGTGGGAGACCTGGAAGAAGTTCCTGGCTCCTGGCTTCAGATCAGCACAGCACCGGGCGATGCAGTCACTTAGGGCGTGAATCTCATTGGATGGAAGATCTTCCTCTCTGTCTCTCCTCCTCTCTGTATATCTGGCTTTGTAATAAAAATAAATAAATCTTTTTTTTTAAAATGTGCTGCAACTTGCTAAATGACTAATTCCTAAAGAATTTTTAATGTATTCCATAGTGAAGCCTATTTTAAAAGAACTATACCCACTAGGTATATGCTGCCCTAATACCATAATGTGAACTTTACATTATGTTTATAATTTTTAGCTTTCATTAATATTTTTCAGTTAAACTTGTGTATGTATATCTAGCAGATCAATTTTCATAGTGTTTGTAAAGATACATGTGTAGAGCAAGTGAGAAAGCTTAAGACACATTTCGAATTGGAAATAGTTTAATATTTTGTTTTAAGGTTTAGTAATCTGTAAAGAATTATTTTCAACAAGTTTTTTTTTCAATCTGTCATTTTAAAATATTTTCTCTTACAGCCTGATGTGTGAAAAAAGGATTTTTGAAACTGTGAATAGCGTAAGGCATCCCTTTTTGGTGAACCTTTTTGCATGTTTCCAAACCAAAGAGCATGTTTGCTTTGTAATGGAATATGCTGCCGGTGGGGACCTAATGATGCACATTCATACTGATGTCTTTTCTGAACCAAGAGCTGTGTGAGTATGCTTCAGACATTTGTCCGAGTTTTCCCATGAGTGATTTGTTTTAGGAAGAAAAAGAGTTCTCTGTAAATTTTAGCTTTTTTTCCCCTCTCTACAAGAAGTTACCTCTCTCTAGTTTTATTAGAATTGTTTCTTTGGTTTTTGCCAAATATATTGTATATTTTTTACTCCATTGTCTATGGTGGAAATTTCATGAGTTACTGTAACTTAATTCATGCTTATCTCATTAAGGTTCATTTTGTTTAGATGAATTTCTAAGAAAACTTTTTGGCAATAAAATTTTCTCTTTGGACTGTAACATCCATGCCTTCAACAAATCATATGCAAATGCATTGTGAAGTAAAAGAGAAATGCAGAAGAATTTATAATACATAAGCACTTAAATAAATAAAATTTTAAAGGATAGTTTGAAAGAATATACATCAGATATTTGTTTATGCTTATAAAATTTGATACAAGTTGAGTGTTCCCTATTTGATGCATAGGGATCAGAAATATTTCAGATTTGAGAGGGTTTTTGGATTTTGTATGTTGACATAAAAACTTTACTGATTAAGCATTTCTAACCTGAAATATGAAATCCCATGAAACTTTTTGAGCATGTTACTCCTCACTTTCCATTTTAGATTTTTGGATTTCACAATGTTAGTTTTTAGATTAGGGATGCTCAATGTATGCACAAATAGCCACCAATGAAAGGAATAAAAACAGACTTCTCACTGTAAGTACTTTTTGTACTTTCTGAGTTGAGTAGTTTATGAAAGTTGAACCTATTCAAAAATATAAAAATAAATGTAAATCAATTTGTATTGTATTTGCATGTTCGGCATACATACACATAAACACATACTTAAAATTTAAACTGTAGTTCTGCCTTAAGGAATATATATCTATTTCCCTGCTAATTATTATCCCAATCTCACACTTTAAAGGAGGGAGCTATGATTTAAAACTAGGAAAGTGCTGTTAATAGCTACACCCTACAGCCTGACACAATGGCTCAATTGGCTAATTCTCCCGCTTCAAACCCTGGAGTACCACATGGGCACTGCTTCATATCCCGACTGCCCCATTTACCTTGCATCTCCCTGCTTTTGGCCTGAGAAAGCTATAGAGGATGACTGAAACCCTTGGGTCCCTGCACTCACATAGGAGACCCAGAAGAAGCTCCTGGCTCCTGGCAGCTTTAGCCTTAGCGGCCATTTGAGGAGTGAACCAGTGGATAGAAGATCTTTGTCTCTCCTTCTGTCTGTAAATCTGTCTTTCCAATAATGAATAAATAAATAGCTACATCTTATTTGCTGCAGTAGGGAGGCATTCTTGATCCTCTGCAAATCCAAACTAGGAGCAAATTTAGTTAACTGCAGCGCCAAAATATACCTTACCTTAAAAAACTAATCCAGTAATTGGATGGTTTAAGAGGCAAGTGGATGGTCTAGAGATTAAGTCACCAGTTGAGATGTCCATGTCTTAGACTGACTCCAACTTCTAACTAGTTTTCTGTGCACCCTCGGAAGCAATAGAGTGAACCGAGTGATTGGGGTTCTGCTACCCACAATGGAGGAATGATTTCTTATCTTAACTTCAGCGGGTATTTGAAAATGAGAGCTCTGTCTCTCTGCTTCTCAAATACTTTTGTTAAAAATATATATATATATCTGGTTGTCTTACCTCTATGGAAAGACATTTCAGTATCCATTCTACATACCAAATCTCTCATCCAGATGTCTTTTCTGCCTAATCTGCTGTTTCTTCCCCAATTATACCCATTCAATGCTAAAGCCACTTTATTAGTTGGGAAGCATGTTATGCCAGTTCTACTCTTCTTTTCCCTTTTAGGGAAATGTCCTGTGTTTCCTTACACACAGAACTTCAGCCTGTAACACTGTCCTTCTGTCCTTGTGGCACATTGTTAATACTCGTACAGAATCGAATCAGATACCCTGAGTTCCTGTGACTCGACCAGGCAAGGAAATGGCCTCTGTCATCGAGACCATATTTCTTATTTTGCAATTTCACTCCTAAATCTAACACCATGTGTCGTACACAATGAGGACTTAATAAATACTTGTGAAGTTAATTAACGACAGAGTTGTACTTTAATGCATAAAAATATAACCTGGGATTCCAAGGCAATGAATCTTCTTTTGATTTAATTCCTGAAACAGATTTTATGCGGCATGTGTAGTTCTTGGGTTGCAATATTTACATGAGCACAAAATTGTGTATAGGTAAGTAAATTTTTATTTCTAATGACTTTGATGTGAATTAGAATTACAGAATATTAAGAGAAATATTTTATACTTCTGCGGCTTCTAATTTTTCTCCTTCATATACTAAGTTATCTTAAAAAGACAAACGGCGTTTTTTAGGATGTAGTCCACATGGTATGTAGTAATCACATACTGAGTGCAGGACAGCATCCTGCTCTTCCTTCACTGAGAGTCTTGGCTGTCAGCTGGAAAACACAGTGCTTGTCGACAGTGCCAGTTTATACACTGAAACAAGTCCCTCACCAAACTTTTGGCCAGTGAAAAGTTGATGATGTTGTAGAAGCTAGTCCAGTGTTTTCAAGGAGTTTCCACATAATACAATTTTACTCAATGGGTAAAGTGTTTTTAACTAGTTTACCGTGTAATCAGTGAAAATGGGTTGATACCTTTCTCTTTATTTTGAATTATTCTGTCAGCAAGTTAATCCTGCTTCCTGATATTTATAATGTTATTTTGACCATTCTTTCTTAGGAAAGTATGTAAACAAACTTCAGACTTTTAACTAAACCAGATTATCACAAATAACAAATTAATAAATATCTGAGCCAAAGGTACTTAAACTCCTTCCATACTTTAAGATATATGAAGAGATAATTCACTTTTTAAAAATGTATTCTTCCTGTATTATAGAGCAAGGAAATAATGTAGAATCTGTACTGTGTAAGCAAATAAACCTGCCGGAAGTAGAAACTGTGATTGTTTATAAAACAGTCTTTGAATCTCAAGTTAAAAGTTGAAAAAACATGTGTATTAAAATAGTGTTCCTATTGAAATGATGTTTTGTTGGTTTTTGTTGGTGGTGGTGGTGGTGGTTTTTTGCTGTTTTGTGATTTTTCTAAAATATGCTATGTATTCATTTCATTGATCATTTATTTTATTTTACTTTATTTATCCTGAACAGAGATTTAAAATTGGATAACTTATTGCTAGATACAGAGGGCTTTGTGAAAATTGCTGATTTTGGTCTTTGCAAAGAAGGTAAATTGAGATTGTTTTCTAATAGAATACTGTCCTTTTAAGTTTGCCGTTGAAAAACAAAATGTATTTTTAACATTGATTTATCTATTCTCTTTTGAAACATTCTGGATTGCTCGTAAAACCAAAATATCATGTTGAAAATTTATTCTGTAGATAGGAATAAGGTTCGATTTGCAGAAATCATAGGGTAAGACTAAGATTCTATTAAAGTAATTCTGTCACTACTTGAAGAAAATACTGGTTATCCACCAAAGTGTTTATTCTGCTGGAATTACTCAGAGTAAATTACGTTGTCCTAATAGTTTCTCTCTAGCTTCTTAAAACTTAACATTTTAACTGGAAACGATAGCTGTATATATCTCAAGAACATTGGCCTGGAAGTTAGGACGCTGAGTTAGGGCACCCACCTCCAATAGGAGAGTACCTGGATTCAAAGCCTCCAGATCCTGGCCCCAGTTTACAGGCACAGCACCTGGAGGAGAAGGAGTAACAATCCTTGCCTCCCTCACAGGATATCTGAATTGGTTTTCCAGCTTCAGGTTTGGTCTCAGCCAATTCCTTGCCGTGGCAGGCATTTGGAGAATGAATCAGTGGTGGGAGTTCTCTATCTTAAATAAATCAATGAAATTTAAAAGTAAGTAAATAAACTTGTAAAATTTGAAGCAGAGGGAGCTTAGGAAAGCTTATCCACCAGATAATCTTAGATTTGAATCCTGGTTTTTTGTTTGTTTGTTTGTTTGTTTGTTTAAAAATGTATTTTTATTGGAAAGTCAGATATACCGAGAGGAAGATCTTCCATCCATTGAACCACTTCCCAAGCAGCCACAACAGCCAGAGCTGCGCCAATCTGAAGCCAGGATCCCTTTCCAGGTCTCCCATGCAGGTTGCACTGTCCCAAAGCCTTGGGCCATCCTGGAGTGCTTTCCCAGACCACAGGCAGGGAGCAGGATGGGAAGCAGGTCCTCCAGGATACAAACCAGCACCCATATGATATCCCAGACTAGCAAGGCGAAGACTTTAACTGCTAGGTTACCACACTGGGCCCTGAATCCTGGTTTTGCTATTTATTCACCATGTGTCTCTAGAAAATTTACTTTTAACTACTTAGAGTCTATTCCCTCAACTGTAAAATGGACATAGTCCTTCCTCTTTAGCATAGTAGCCAACATAATGTAAATAGAGAGCCTTATCTTTACATTCAAGCATTATATTATAACTAATATTTCTCTATCTTCCTCTGCACTGGTAACTTTTTTTTTGTTATTGACAAGTGTTAACTATTCAGTAAATGTTTGATTAATAAATACCTCGATAAATGAGTGAATGAACTTTGTAAAGATAGGTGCATGACATACGCTACTGGTCTCCTAATTACTAAATGCAGTAAAAGCTTTCTCTAATTGGGTGTCTCTGTTGGACACTATTAATTTAAATGGTTTTGTCCCTCACAAGCTATCCTTAACCCATTATTACTCACAGTGTTTTGTTTTTTAAAAATTCACACCATTTTTTTTTAAATTTTAAATGTTATTATTCCATGATACAGTTCCATGGGCTCCACGGTTTCCCTTTCCCCTTTCTTAAATCCCCCCACACATACTGATTTCCCCATGTCATCATGGTAGTATACTCCTTCACAATCAGTCATAAGTCCATTATTCTGCTATTTAAGTGTATCCTGACACTGCTGGTACAGACAATGGCAGAGAGTCCAGCATCCTATTGTCAAGATAGAACAATTTCATTGGGAGTCCATGTTCGATTTGTAAGACAACAATATGAAGTTAAATAACATGCTATTGAATGACCACTGTGTCACTGAGGAAATGAAAAAGAAAGTAAACCAAATGATGCTATTCCTGAAGCAAATGATGCTGTTACCATGGTATTTTAAGATTTTTAAAAATTTTTTTTGGAAAGGCAGATATTCAGAGAGACGAAAAGACAGAAAGATCTTCTGTCCACTGGTTCACTTCCCAAATGGCCACACCAGCTAGAGCCAATCCAAAGCCATGAGTCAGGAGCCTCTTTCTGGTATCTGTCATGGGTGCAGTGTCCCAAGGCTTTAGGCCATGTTCTACTACTTTCCTAGATCACAAGCAGGAACCTGGGTGGGAAGTGGAGCAGCCAGGACACAAACCAACCAAATGTTTTGTTTCATTTTTAAGATTGATTTATTTGAAAGGCAGAGTTCACAGAGGGAGGAAGCAAGAGAGAGATTCCATTTGCTGGTTCTGATCTCGAAGGGCCACATCAGCAGGAGGTGAAGCCAGGAACTTCCAGGTGACTGGCTGAGTATCAAGGACTTGGGCTTTTTTTAACTGCTATTCCCTGGCCATTCATAGGAAGCTGAATCAGAAATGGAGCAGCAGGAACTCAGACCCAGTTTCCACAAGGAGTACCAGTATCATAGGTGTTGGCTCTACCTCCTACCACACAATGCCAGCCCCTTTATAGCTAGTTTTGACCATGAGAGTCTCATGTGTTATTACACTGTATTCTGTATAAGAATTCTTAACATTTCATTAAAAGTCTCTAATTCATCTGATTTTTATCATAATACAGAAATATGCAACTTAAATTTTGCTTTCTAAAAGCATATTCTGATTTTTCTGTTAAGCTTTTTGTTAAAAAATACTTAAATTTTATCTTTTCCAGGAATGGGATATGGTGATAGAACAAGCACATTTTGTGGCACTCCTGAGTTCCTTGCCCCAGAAGTATTAACAGAAACATCCTATACAAGGGCTGTAGATTGGTGGGGCCTTGGTGTACTTATATATGAAATGCTTGTTGGTGAGGTAAGCAAAATGAAATAGATAAAAGATAGGAAAGATGATTGAAAGAAGAAAGAACAGTATTTATACCTAATAAGTGTCTTAAATAAGTAGAACTTAAGTTTTTAAATTTTTGTCATATGCTAATAATTGATTGTTTCTATAATGTCTTCACTTTTTGAATGTTTTTATGTGACTTATGGAATTCATTACCAATGCTTGGGTCCTTATATTTTAGAGTTCTAATGTGGTTATATTACCGATTTTTAAAAAACAAATATTTCTTTATATAAAGTGAACAAATATCACATATTTTACAGTATAAATTTAGGAGCATAATGATACTTCCCATCTTACTATCCCTCCTACCCTCATTCCCTGTGCACACTCCTGCTATTTTTTTCTCCTTATGTTTTTATTTTTACAATAGCATGCTTTTATTTCACACAGATGTTTTTAATAATAAATTCATGTTATTTTTGACGATGCTTGTATAGTTGAAAGGGATGCATGCCCATGTGGACCACCAAGCAGGTGGGGAGGGTTGAGGAATGGGGGAAAATGGATGAGACAACTGCCTCCGATCTTTTTCTTCTGGTGTCCGGGGAAAGTCAGAGCAAGGGGAGAGGAGCACTCCCAGTAATCCAACTGCATCAGTACCCAGCAATGGGGGAACCCTATGTCATCTCAAGGTCCCTGTGTTCAGACGACACTCCTTGAATGGTTTTGATAGTTCTGAAATGCTACTAGTTTCATTGCTCCATGGTTGAGGAAATCCCTCCAAGGTCAACTGGCTGACAGAGTTCACCTTAGACTCTTGATTGGCCCAGACGCTTGTCCAGAGAGCTGTCCAGTCTGCTCTGCCCTCCATGATACCACATCCTCCGCAGGCCCCAGTGGGCTGGTTATCATGTCCCCCATGAGCATCTGGGCATGCTATCCAGTACATAGATCTCAGCAACTGTGGAGACCCAGTTCTGACACATGCACTCCACAGTCAGACTACAAGTCTTACGCTTTTCACTGTGGTTGGAATTCTGAGCCCAGTGATCCAGTTGTGGGGATTCCCAAAGAAACCTTACCAGTGATGATGCCAGTATGACTTCTGTGCATGCCAGCTAGTGTGTGATCAGCTCAATGCGTTATCCACATAAGCCTACGCACTCACTGTTTATTGCAGGTACCTGGCCAGTTTTGTCCCCAGTCCATCTCATACACAAGCCAGTGGGGGCTGTGGGCCTGCCCAACTCTGTCCACCAAACATTCTGCCCTCACATACACCAGCAGCAACTGCTGCCTAGTCAGAGCACACCCCAGTAAGTATACTAGGCCCAGCAACAGCCCCAGCCCCAGCCCTGGTTCCTGTGCATACCAGTATGTTCAGCAGACTGGTCCAGTCTGTCCCATATCCAGTTTCGTTCTTGTGCATTTCAATAGGGGTTGAAGCCTAGCTCAACCCAACAACCCCACTAGCCAGCCCACACTAATGTCAGCAGGTGCCATCAACCTTTCTAGCCAAGCCTGCCCCCACCCATGGTTCTCAAGCTCACCAGTGAGAGTTGTAGCCCATCAGAGCACCCAGCTTCCCTTCTGGGCCCATTCCCAGTCCCATATTTTGTGCTTTCCAGATGATCCTATAATCTAATCTGACAGGATTTGCCCCAGTCTCAGCACTTTCCAGCTGATGCAATAGCAAAACCCCAGCCAAACCATGCCCTGCACTTACTCTGATTCGTGGATGCTCCAATGGATATATGGCCACTTAGCCCAGCCTGGCTCTCCCCCTAACCCAGCTCACATACAGGCCAATGAGTGTTGTGCCCCTACCCAGCCTGGTCTGTGCCCATCCCAGCTCTCATTCTCACTAGCTAGAGCAGTGATCCAGCAGTGGAGCCCCTGCAGCTGCCCTACTATGCTCGACCCCCAACCACGTCTTAATTGTGCTGGTTTTTGCTGTGGCCCAAACTGACATGCTCACCTCACGTCAACATCCACAAAGGGATGCAGCAATCTGGCTTGGCCTGGCCTTTCCTCTAGTTCCAGCTTATGCTGGTGGGTGCTACAGCCTAGCCCACCCCAGCTAGTCCTAATATGAACTGGCTGACATTGCAGCCCAACCCAGCCTGTCATGCACCTGTTACTAGTTCTCATAACTGCCAGTGGGTGCCATGAACTGGCCCAGCCTGGCCTGGGCTGCTCCCAGCCTTGGTTCTTGCCCTCACCTACAGGGACTGCATCCTAACAGAGCAGTTCCCCAAGTTCCTCTATCAGGTCACCTCTCAGTATGAGATCTTGTGCATAACAGTGAGTCCTTAGCTCAGCTGTGCCTGGCCCACTTCCTGTCCTACCTTGCCCAACACACCCATACTCATCCCAGTTCTTGCTGTTGGGTACTACAACTTAGCCATGACTAGTCCACCCACAGACCCAGCTCCCCTGTGGTTAGCAGGTACAGAGGCATGGGCTAGCTGTTCTACTGGTACCCTGGCGCTTTGAGCACCAGAATGTGCTAGAGCCTAGCCCAGTCTGGCATACCCCAGACACAGGCCACACCAATGCTGAGGGATGCTCCAGCTGTGTCCAACCCAGTATACCACCCCCATTTCAGCTCTTAAACTCACTAATAGGAACCACAGCCCAGCAGGGGCATCTTGGCTCCCCAATCAAGCTCTTTCCCAGCCTCAGATCTTGGACATGCCAATAGCTGCTTCAGAGTAGCACAGCATAACCCATCACCCAGCATGGCTTTTTCCAACAAATTCTGCAGCCTGGGCTGGTCTGGTCCACCCCTAGTCCCAGTTCTCGCTGATGGGTGCTGCAGCCCAGCCCTGCCCAGCATGCCCCATTCCTGGATTTTATGCAGACTAGTCGGTTTGATAGCCTAGCATAGCTTGGCATGGCCCACACTCTATCCTGGTTCCTGTACATGCCAGTGTGTTAAGGTTTGGCGTGGCCCTACCCAGTCTGCATCCTAAGTCCCAACCCACAAACCTGCCAACAAGTGAAACAACTCTGCCCAGCCTGACCTCTGCCTCAACCCTGACTCATGTGCTCACCAGCTTCAGTGTCAGCCCTCCAGGGTACTGCCCCAAGGTCTCCTCCCAGGCCTATTCCCAGACTCAAATCTTATGTGTGCCAGCAGGTGCTAGAACCTTACTCAGCAGTTTGTTCCCCAAATGTCAGTCTCTATGTGTGCCAGTAGATGTTGCAGCCTGGCCCACCCCACACCCAATTCTTGGGTGAACCTGCAGGTGCTACAGCCTGGATTAGCCTGGCCTGTTCCCAACCCCAGTACACATGAGAGTTGGTGAATCTCATGATCATGCCTAGCTCAGCCTATCACCATCCCAGCCCTCAAGCAAACCAGCTAGTGTGGTGTTCCCATGGGGGTGAGCTCACAATCTCCCACAGAATCTGCTCCCAGATCTTTATGAGCTGGTTAGTGTCATAGCCCAGCCTGATATCATCCATCCCCTGTCCAATCTCTCACTGGCAGGTGCTGTGGTTGAGCCATGGCTTTTGTGTGCACTAGTAGGTTGTGGTTGGTACCAACAATCCCAGCTGAGGTCTCCCACATGGGTGGGTATATTGGTTTGGCCCAATAGGGTCCTCCGATTTCCCTCCTCTAAACCACTTGATCTCAGTCCCCTCATTTACCTACCCACCTCATTTTCCTGCAAGTGTAGTCTCCAGTTTGGTGGAATTCCCTCAGAAGTCACTCCTCACCTATTGCATTTACCCTCAGCAGTCCTCCCTCCCACACGTCCAGACCTGCTTCCCTGAGCATTCCACACCCACCCATGTCTGGTGCTCTGGCTGTGTGTTGTGACAGCCTGTGCCCCTACCTGCCTACCCAGGGCCCACGCACGTTCATGTGTGGGTCCCCAGACCCTATCTGTTGGCGTGCCAGTGTCTTCTGCCCACATAGAATAAATGACTATTCTGGTACACTGGTATATTTAACAAATTTGGCGTTAACCAGGCTCAGGATGCCTCTAGCTACTAGCTGTTTTTCTACCTACAGTTAACACTTGCCTGGGTACAATGCAAATAGGCCATTGCCTACAGCTGGGGCACAATCACAGATTTAATAGTATATTCTGAAAATATTTTAGCATATACCAAGGTGAAACACGAAAACCTGCTATTCTTTAAGACCATAAACAAATGCTACAAATCATCAGACCTCAAAATTTTAATCCGGCTCATATGAATTAGATTTTTTTTTTTTACATTGTGTATTAATTGCTGCAAATCAGGGAAAAGGATATTTTTCTTTTGGAGACTGGCTTATTTCATAAGCATTGTGGTTTCTAGCTGCATTTATTTATTTTTCTTCGGTAGTATTTTATTTCATACTGTATATTATGCTATGTTTTCTATCCAGTCATCCATTGAGGATACCTGAATTGATTCCATATCTTATCTATTATAAATTTTTAGTGCAATAAATATGCAATAAAAAGCTCTCTCAGCTACTGATTTCATTTCATTTGAGTAAATTCCCAGAAGTAGGATAACCGGGTCATATTGTGGCTCTATTTTCAAATCTCTACTGAATCTCCAAACTATCCTTCATAATGGTTGTACTAATTCACATTCCTACCAGTAGTGGGTTAGCGTACCTTTTTCCCTACATTCTTGCCAACATTTATTGTGGTTGTTTTTTTGCTTTGTTTTGTTTTGTTTTTGATGGTAGTCTTTCTACCAGTTTTTTGGTGTGTGTGTGTTGTCTGGCCATTTGTATTTCATGCTTTGAAAATTACCTGTTTATGTCCTTTGCCCATTTATTAAATGTATTATTTGCTTTTTTGTTGTGTATCTTGATCTGTGTATAGATTCTAGATGTTAATCCTCTATCCATTACATAGTTTACAAATATTTTCTCTCATTCTTTTGTTACCTTCACTTTGTTGACAATTTTGCTTTGTAGTGCAGCAGCATCTTAGCATTTTAAATAATTTCATTGGTTTATTTTTTGCTTAAATTACATGTGCTTCTGGGGTCTTTTCCAAGAAGTCCTTGCCTACACTCATGTCTACAGAGTTATCTCTAGTAATTTGATGGTATCAGGTCATAGGTTTAGGTCCTTGACCAATCTAGTGTTAATTTGTTTAATAAGGTGTAAACTGGGGGGTCTTGTTTAATGCTTCTGTACATGTAGCTCCAATTTTCCAAGCAGCATTTGTTGAAGAAACCTTCCTTTCTCCATGGATTAATTTCAGTTTGCTTGTCAAACTTTAGTTGGCGATAGATATTTGGGTTCCTTTCTTGGTTTTCTATTCTGTACCATTGATCTGCATGTCTGTTTTTATGCCACTACCAGTCTGTTTTGATTACAACTGCAGTGTAGTACCTTTTAAAGTCTGGCATTACAATCCAGCTTTGCTTTTGTTGTTTAGTATTGCTTTGCGATTCAGTCTCTTGTGTTTCCATATGAATTTTAGCCTCATTGTTTCTAGATCAAAGAAGAAAGCTGTAGGTGTTTTAGGATCATCGTGGATCTATACATTATTAGTATGGACATTTTGATGATATTCTACCAATTTAAAACGTGAAATATTTTCTGTGTTTTTGTGTCTTCTATTTCATTCTTTAATGTTTTATAATATTCATCATAAAGATTCCTCACCTCCTTGGTTAAATTTATTCCAATGTATGTAATTTACTGGCAGCTCTTTTGAATGGGACTGATTTGCAAGTTATTTCTTATCTTGGATTTGCTTGTGTATACAAAAGCTATTGATTTTTCTCTTACAAGTTTCAATAATGTCTTAGTAGTCTTTTACTTCCACTATATGGATAATCATGTCATTTGCAGACAGGCTTAGCTTGACTTTCTCTTTTCCAATTTGTATGCCTTTAATTTTATTTATTTATTTATTGCCTAGTGACTTTCATTGCAATTTCCAGGACTATATTAAATAATAGTGATGAGAGTGGGCATTGTTGCCTCGTTCTGTAACTTACTGGAAATGCTTCCAACTTTCTTCATTCAATATGAGGCTAGCTGTGGGTCTTTCTTATATTGCCTTGATTATGTTGAGGACTGTTTCTTCTATACCCAATTTGCCCATACTTTTTTAATCACGAAAGGGTGTTGCATTTATTTAAATGCTTTCCTTGCATCTGTTGAGATGCTCATGTGTTTTTACTCTTTGTTAATGTGATATAGCGCATTTATTGATTTACTTAGGTTGAACCATTGCTGCCTAACAGAAGTAAATCTCATGTGTTCTAGGCAACTGATTTTTTTTCCATGTTATTGCATTCAATTAGCTAATATTTTGTTGAGCTAATTGTTGAGCTGTTTTGTTCCAATGTCTGTTTTCAGCTCAGCTCTGGTCATTTGTGGCCATTTTGAGAGTAACCCTGTAGAGGGAAAATTTCTATCATTTGTCATTCTTCCTTTCTGTAACTCTTCCTTTAAAATAAATTGATAAATAAAAATTAAAAACTGGTGGATGGCACATTGTTGTAGCAGGCTAATCTTCATCTGTAGCATCAGCATCACAAATGAACGAGGTTCTACCCCCAGCTTTTCCACTTCCAGTCCAGCTCCCTGCAAGTGGCCTGGGAAAGAAACAAAGGATTGTCTAAGGCCTTGGACCCATGCACCCATGTGGAGGATCTGACTCCCAGCTTCAGATCAGCCTAGCTCTGGATGTTGCAACCAGTTGAGGAGTGAACCAGCAGATACATGCGCTCTGTCTCTTCTTTACTCTCTCTCTCTGTCTCTGTCTCTCTCTCTCTCTGTAACTCTTGACTATCAAGTAAATCTTTAACAAAGTGCTAAGATTACAGAAATGCCCTAAGACATTTGGGGCACTAAATATGTCTGCCAGTGTATGCTTTTTTTATCACCACTAATTTGCCATTTACTTTTAAATTTTTGAACGAAATTAAATATTGGAATTTGAATTTTGAGTTTGAAATGTTGAATTTGCTAGCTGATGTATATCCAGTTTCTCTGCTTCCCTCTTTTAACATTTACTACCATATTTACATTGATCACTTTATTCTGTCATTCCATATTGAGCTTATTAAGAATTATTACTATTATCTAAATAGTTCCCACCGTGAAATCGTTATTCTAAATCTTGACTGGATAAATAGAGCAATAAATTAATGAGGTTAAGGCCCGGTGCAATAGCCCAGTGACTAAACCCTTGCCTTGCATGCCAGGATCTAATACAGACACCGGGTCATGTCCCAGCTACTCCTCTTCCTATCCAGCTCCTTAATTGTGGCCTGGGAAAGCAGTAGAAGACGACCCAAAGCCTTGGGACCCTGCACCCATATGGGAGATCCAGAAGCTGCTCCTAACTCCTATCTTTGGATCAGCTCATATCCGGCTGTTGTAGCTACATGAGGAGTGAGCCAGTGGAAAGAAGAATTATTTTCTCTGTCTCTTCTTCCCTCTATAAATATGACTTTACATTAAAAAAACTACATTTTTAAAAAATTGAATGAAATTAAATGGAAAAGTATGTATAACTAAGATTTTCATAGTGATCAAAACAATGTAAGAATTCCACTAAGAATATATAATGTCATCTCTGCATAATAGATAAGTATCCATTGTGACTTTTAAAAGATTTACTTTATCTGAAGGACAGAGCTGCAGGGGTCATGAGGGAGACAGAAAGGTATTCCAACTGCTGATTCACAACCCACATGACCTCAGTGTCCAGGAATGGGCCAAGCCAGGGCCCGGAGCCAGGACCTTCTTCTGTGTCTCATGAGGGAAGAGACCCAAGCACTTGAATCATCCTCTGCTACTAATTAATGTGCCTCACGCAAGTTATCAGTGAACTGGATTGAAAGAACAGCAGGGACTCAAATTGGCACCCCTATGAGATGCCTTCTTACAGGCAGTTTTAACTTGTTACACTACCATGCTTGTCCCATATTGTAACTTCTTACAGTCATTTTTTTATTGCTGTTTTAGTAGATTAACTTTTGAATTTCATTTTTTTCTTTTGTACTGCCTGGAAGTTAGCTGGAGTTTATAAATTTTTACTGTACTGAAATTATTTTATTGTTATTATTTTATTATTTATAATTTTGATCAATCCATTTTTACTTGATGTGATAGAGATCTTTGATCTGCAGTTCACTCCTTAGATGCCTGCAATAGCTAAGGTTGGCTAGACTGAAGCCAGCAGGCTGAAATTCTGGGGCCCTGCGTGGTCACCCACCTACAGTACCACATACTCACCTCTGAAACTCATTGTAACTTACTCAAAAATGTCTCTTCCAGTCTCCCTTTCCTGGTGATGATGAAGAAGAGGTTTTCGACAGTATTGTAAATGATGAAGTAAGATATCCAAGATTTTTATCAACCGAAGCTATTTCCATAATGAGAAGGGTAAGAAGAACTCTTTCTAAAAAGCTACTTAGTCCTTTTTTAAATGGAAAAAACTTCTCAATATAACTTTTTGTTTGTTTTTTGTTTTGCTTTTGCTTTTCTTCCAATAGAACTTTGGAAGTTGTTTTTAAATTCATAGATGTTACATGGTTTAGAACTCAATTAATCTTTGAAAGTTAAGAAAATCCTTATCATTAAAGCTTATTTTATTGATTTTACTTTAACATTTTTATGTTACATTGTATTAGCTGTTGAGAAGAAATCCTGAGCGGCGCCTTGGAGCTGGAGAGAAAGATGCAGAGGATGTGAAAAAGCACCCATTCTTCAGGGTAAGTGTGAAATTTGAAAACTGTTTATGAAAGTAGAACAATTAAGAACAGGAAACTAAACTGGTCATTTTATATTTTATAATCCAGCTAATTGATTGGAATGCTCTAATGGACAAAAAAGTAAAGCCACCGTTTGTACCTACCATCAGAGGTCGAGAAGATGTTAGTAATTTTGATGATGAATTTACCTCAGAAGCACCTATTCTGACCCCACCTCGAGAACCACGGATACTTTCAGAAGAGGAGCAAGAAATGTTCAGAGATTTTGACTACATTGCTGATTGGTGTTAAGTACTAGACACTGTGAAACCAAGCAGACTGACTCACAAGAAGACCTCTAAAATAACACCCCTTCCTTCATTTGCTCTCTGTGCCACCAATAGCTTCTGAGTTGTTTTTTAAAACACATGAAGATTTGTCTGAAAGTACTATTTCAATAACTTCTTGAAAAAGTGGCTTCTCAAAAGTTTTTTCTGAGCACTGGAAGCAGATTTGTGGAGTTTAAGCTGAAAGAACATTGGCCATGAAAGTCTATTGCAAATAGGTGCTTTTGGAACAATGATCTATTTAAGAGAAAAAGAAAGAAACCACTCTTTCATAGTCCCTAGCTTTGCCACATGCCTGCCTTAAGTGGAAGGAGGATTAATCACTTAACTGTGTTTCACAAACAGAAAACAAAAATGGCTAGGAATGCTATTATTGTTCATACAAAGTATGATTATGTTTGAATGAGGCAAATGCTCTTATTTTTTAGAAATTACTGTTATCAAAAATCTGTAGTGACAGTTTACATATTTTGAGGCTTGATTTTTTGGAAAAACAAAATGAATTGATGTTTTATAAATTTTCTATATTTATTAGGAGAAAATTTTTTTTATCACTTTATCATTATCAACCATGTAATAGAGCCTCATAGCTTTCCAACAGAGCTACTTGCCAAACAGTTCGTTTTTACTTAACAGTGCTGAAAGAAATGGAAGCGATCAGCAGTTCCTTAAATTGTTAAGAATGAGGACTTCGAATCAGCCTGAATCAAGATATACTGTCTCACCTATATGCATTCCCAAAATTTAGACCATCCAGTATATTCAGTCATGTCTTCTTCCAAAATCAGTGAACTGACCATCCCATTTTTGATACTTGTTCTACAGTTATCAATCTAATTTGTTGTGTTCTGATGTCTGCTGTAGAAGGGAACTATATCTTTGTTAAACCATAGGATTATCATTGTATACATGCTGTGAACATGTATATGTGCAAGTTGTAATGTATTCTATGTTGTAGGCTTATTATTTAATTTCACCACTTCATCACTTTTGTACAGTGGCCAAGCAGACACCTCAAACTCCAGCATTTACATTAAGTGCATTTGTACATTTTTAGGCCACTGGATCCAGATTTTATATTGGCAGTTACTGAGGGCAAAAGCAATATATTGTAACAGAATGTATAAATATTTTTGATAAAACAGTCTATATTTTATAAAAAATATTATAACACTAAAACTGTACCTCAAAAGTCTCAAAAATAATTTGATCAGATATTTTTTACAACTCTTCAGAGGATCCGTCTGTGGCTTTATACACTCTATAGGGATGTCTTCTTGTAAATCATGACTTCCCACTTGCTTGGATTCTTTTGTTTGTTGTTGTTTCAGTTTGATTTTTGATTGATTTTTCACTCCTACTTCATAACTTCATATTTTATTAGTTCAATAACAGCCTCTGTGATCCTGTGCTTAGCATTTTAGGGTCATTATACCTCAGGAATACCTAACCGACAACTAACCGTATTGAATTAACCATCTAATCACAGTGAGCTCATCTGTTAAAATGTTTTCAAGTTTAAATCTTACGAGAAACATAAAAGCACACTTACATATGGGGAGTGTAGCTAAAAACATTGACAAATATTTCAGCTTTGCTAAAATGCACTGTTTTGTTTTAATTGTACTCTGAGAACAATCAGAATTGTCCAGAGATAATTCTTATTATCTTCCAAATTAATGAATATCCTAAATATCTTGTAGGAAGAACCATGTATTGTCTAAAGTTATTTTAAAATTCCAGTTAACTTCCACAGCAAAGGACAGTAGAGGAACTTAGCTTAATTGGCTTCAACTTGAACAGAGGTAACATTAAAATATTCGTAAAACACTAAAAACTTTTGAGGTACAGTCTGCTTACCTTTGCTGGTTTTGAAACATGTATAGAAAGCAATGTCTAAAATAGGCTTTTAGCATTAAAAACTGACAATAACTTTTTGTAACACAGTGTACAGAAATTTTTTTTTAAATCTAAGTCAATCACTAAAAATAATTAGAGGGCAGGGTATATCCACACAATTAAGCTGACAAAAGCACTAATTTTTTTTTTCTGTAGTTTTAAAAGTATATATATTTTAGTCAGATTTAAAATTTTAAGCTCTATAGAGTGTAAATATTTTGCTATTACTGTGTGTGTATGTGACTGCTCAAGCACTTTGTAAGGAAATTATGATATTTTAGGATGGTACACTATGCATTCAAATGAAATGTGCCTTTAACTGTGTCATTCTCAGAAAAAAAGTGTTTTGCAGTCATAAATTACCCACAAGTGCACAAATTAAATAGATTGAATTTGTAACTTTGGTTTTAAGTATTTTTCTTTTAGAAACTTCCTGGTAATAAAATATGTGTTGGTTTACTGTGTTAAAAATTGCAAAGATTAGCCTGAGTTAACTTTCTCATAAGTACTTAAGCCTCAAACGATGAAAATTTAAAACAAATTTTCCATTTTGTATTCTAATTTTGTAAAGCTAATAGCATCTTTCATTTCATGGCTACAATGGAAGGCCCACATGGCTAGACAACGAGTACAAGCAGATGGGAAAAAGAAAGCAACAAGTGATCAGAAATAAAGAAAATACAGCTTGTAATAATATTAAAATTCAGTTACCAGTACTATGTGTAGTTATATGCTGAGGTTAACTTGTTTAAGATTTATCAATTTTTTTTTATTTGAAAGGCAGATTTACAGAAAGGAGAAGAAAAAGAGAGATCTTCCATTTGCTGTTTCATTCCATAAATTACCGCAACAGCCACAGCTGAAGCCAAGAGCCTGGAGTCTCCTCTGGGCCTCCCACATGGGTATAAGGTCCCAGGGATATAAACCATCTTCTACTGCCTTCCCAGGCACACCTACAGGGATCTGGATTAGAAATAGATGCCACAAGGATCTGAACTGGCGCCCATATGCGATATTGGTACAGCAGGTAGAGGTTTAGTCTACTATGCCACAGCACCAGCCTTGCGGTAAACTTATTTTAATTTTAATTGTGAACCTCAGTTTGTAGAAAATAGACCAGTGAAAAAACAGAATGCCAGATAATTCTGTAGTCATTTTTTAATTTAAAAAAAGTGTGAATAGAAAATATTAGAAATATGAAATGATCCACCTTCTCGCTTTGAAACAAATTGAGGGCATAATATAAATTGCTGTTCTTTTTTGACTTAGTAAAAGATGGTTTTAATTGATTTTTTTGCAGGTACTGCCCATATTCCTAAAGCAACTGAGAGAATAAATATGGAAACCCTAAGGAAAAAATGTTAATCCATGGATCGTATAAATTTTAAAATTACTATTAATCTACCAATCATCATGTAAGAGCTGGTGTTTCTCAGTGCATTAACATGGATAGAAACTTTAAAATTATTACTGAGTTAGTATACAAACATACATAAGATTGAGAGTTATTGAAAGTCCAAATGTCAAACCTTTGGTTAATTTCTGTTTCAGATATGATCTAGGGAGACACTGTAGGACTCTGCAAATTGATGTAGTTTGAGACCTTGCTGATCTCATCAAACATTAGAGTGGTTTCTTTTTTTTTTTTAAGATTTATTTATTTATTGGCAAGTCAGATATACAGAGAGGAAGAGAAACAAAGAGGAAGATCTTCCGTCCGATGATTCACTCCCCAAGTGAGCACAATGGCCGATGCTATGCCGATCCGAAGCCAGGATCCAGGAACTTCTTCCGGGTCTCCCACGCGGGTGCAGGGTCCCAAAGCTTTGGGCCTCCTCAACTGCTTTCCCAGGCCACAGGCAGGGAGCTGGATGGGAAGTGGAGCAGCCGGGATTAGAACCGGCGCCCATATGGGATCCCGGGCGTGCAAGGCGAGGACCTTAACCACTTGCGCCATCGCGCCAGGCCCAAGAGAAAACTCTTGGCACCTGGTTTTGGATCGGTTCAACTCTGGCCATTGCAGCCATTTGGGAAGCAAACAAGCAGATTTGTCTTACAGATAAAATTAGATAAGTAAATATTTTTTTAAGATTTATTTTTATTGCAAAGTCAGATACACAGAGAGGAGGAGAGACAGAGACGAAGATCTTTCATCCAATGATTCACATCCCAAGTGACTGCAATGGCCGGTGCTATGCCAATCGAAGCCAGGATTCAGGAGTTTCTTCCAGGTCCCACACGGGTGCAGGGTCTCAAGGCTTTGGGCCGTCCTCGACTGCTTTCCCAGGCCACAAGCAGGGAATTGAATGGGAAGCAGGGTTGCCGGGATTAGAGCCAGCGCCCATATGGGATCGTGGTGTGTTCAAGGCAAGAACTTTAGCCACTAGGCCACCGCACCAGGCCGGGTAAGTAAATATTTTTAAAGAAGAAATGTGTGGAAGTTAGTGCAGTGGCTCAACATTCTAATCCTCCACCTGCAAGTGCCAGCATCTCACTTGGATGCTAGTTTGTGTCCCAGCTTCTCCACTTCCTATCCAGCTCCCTGTTTATGGTCTCCTAGGAAGGCAGCAGAGGAGGATGATCCAAGGTCTTGGGCTCCTGCATCCAAGTGGGAAATCTGGAAGAAGCTCCTGGTTTCTGATTAACTTAGCTCTGCTGTTATCATTTGGGGAATGAAGAATTCTCTGTCCTCTCTGCAAATCTTAATTTCAAATAAAAAACAAATAAATCTTAAAAAATGAAATAATTTTTAGGAATCAATGTAAGTAAATTTTTAAAGCAAGATTTATTTTTCCAGACTATTATTCATATGGGCATTCTAAAGCATATGCTTCAAGAAAGAAAATTCTCCTGGAAAGATTATGGAAAAAAAGATCCATGAACAAAAAGATAAACATCTGAGTAAATCTAAATAAACCAACTAGATGACAGGAGTTGTTTGATGTAGTTCTTTTGTTTTTGAGACATCAAGATGTTGAATATACTGTTGCTGAATGTGCATAGTAAAATGTTAGTGAGATTAAGTAAAGTTTATACTGCCCATACAAATCAAACTTTGAAGTATAGAAATAGATCCCGGCAGGCATCAGTAGAACAAACTCACTCTTAAAGGTGGGACCTGTGTTGAATTTTAAAAAGAAAAGTTGGCTTTGTAATATTTACAAAGACATGCACCTTAAAAAGGTAGAGAAATCAGGTAAAACTATGAAAAAAAAGTTGTATGATTCAAAATCTGTTCAAGCTGAGTGTGGTTGCTCTGCAAGCTGACAGACATGGTAAATTACTCCCCCAACCCCACACACAAACAAGGGCTTCCATGTAATTAAATATTCAGTTCCTCCAGAAAAAGCATAGCTAATCACATTTGGACTTACCATAATACTTTCTGAGTACATGCAGGAAACACTGTTGAACTACAAAAAAACAGAATTTCAATTCCATTATTTATAAATAGCACAGCAGGCTTTAAAGTCAGCAGATATACAAAATGTTTCCATTAAACATTATATTTGATCTAATATGTGTATAGAGTTCTGCCTCTAATATTCAATAAATTCCACATTCGTTTCAAGTAATGGGCCATTTACAGAAATCAAGCCATATGGGCTTGGCACAGTGGCTCAATAGCTAAATCCTCAGCTTGCAAGCACCAGGGATCACATATGGATGCCAGTACATATCCTGGCTGCTCCACTTTCCATCCAGCTCTCTGCTTGTGGCCTGGAAAAACAGTAGAGGATGGCCCAAAGCCTTAAGACCCTGCACCTGTGTGGGAGACCCAGAGAGGCTCCTGACTTCAGATTGGCTCAGTTTCAGCTATTGGGAAGAATCCCTATTCCTACAAACTGTATCATGGAAGATAATAGTTAAATGTATATTAGAAAAAGGAAGGCTAAAAATGTTTTAATTGTTTAGCCAAATAAGTTGAAACAAAATAAATTTGAAAATAAGCTAGAAACACTAATAGCTGTAAAAAGATGAAAATGAGAGAAGGCATAGGTACTATTAAAAATACAAAGATCTTCAAAGTACTATCAACAGTGGTAAGCAAAAAACTAACACTATTGAGATATCCTTTTAAAAATAAAGAATACTAGCAGGAAGAAATTGTTAAAACTGTTAAAGAAGTGAACTTTAAGGGTCTTTCCCACAAAGAAAACATGGTTCAAGTTATTTTAAAAGTAGATTCCTAAAGTTTACAAGAACGGTTATTTCGGCTTCATAGAAAGTTCTTAAAATTATGGGGAAAAGTTATATTTCTCAACTTGTTTTCTGAATCAGTCACATCTGTGTAAAGACAATAGGGATAGTACATTGATTGCACATCTATGCATACTGGTACAGGTATACTAAAACCAAATCAGTTTAGTTGATAAATGAAGAAGATCCTATTCCAGAAAATTGGGCTTATCCTAGGAATACATGGATGGCATAGTATAAGAAAGTCTGTAACTGTCATTTGCCATTTTAAGTGCTCATAGGAGAAAATGTAATTAAGAAAAAGCTGATAACATTTCTAACAAAACAAAACAAAAAGATGATGTAGGTGTTACTTGTAACAGTATTCAGATGCCAGAAGCTCGTGTCAGAGAACCCGGGTTTCTGTCCTGGCACGGCTCTGCATTCCAGCCTTTGCTAATGGGAGATTCACATTGATTTCCAGATTCCAGCATTTGTAAAGGAAATCACCAAATGAAGAATCCAACTCTTAACTGTTCTTCAAATAGTTCCTTTAGCCCAAAAAATGTTATGAATGTGTATGTTAAAACACACATACATACCTAAAACTAATGAAATCATACCATGTAAGACAACAATGAAAGCATTCCTTTTAAAATTGGGAGTGGAGGCTGGTGTGGCATAGGGCATTAAGCTGCCACTGGCAATGCCACATCCCATATGACACCAGTTAAAAGTCCTCGCTGCTCCATTTCCAGTCCAGCTCCATGCTAATGTGCTGGAAAAGCAGTGAAAGATGGTCCAAAGTACTTAGGCATTTGCAACCATGTGGGACACTTGGAAAAGCCTTCTGCCTACTGTTTTTCTCTTTTTTTTTTTAAGATTTTATTTATTTTTATTGGGAAGGCAGATATACAGACAGGAGGAGAGACAGAGGAAGATCTTCCATCCAATTGTTCACTCCCCAAGCAACCACAATGGCTGGAGCAGAGCCAATCTGAAGCCAGGAACTTCCTCCAGGTCTCCCACACGGATGCAGGTTTCCAAAGCTTTGGGCCGTCCTCGACTGCTTTCTCAGGCCACAAGCAGGGAGCTGGATGAGAAGTGGAGCTGCCAGGATTAGAACCAGCGCCCATGTGGGATCCCAGCGCATTTAAGGCGAGGACTTTAGCCGCTATGCTATCACGCCAGGCCCTGCCTACTGTTTCAACTTGGACCAG